GCTTAGAGAGGGCTGAAAGCCCTATGAAGCGGTATATAAGTCTAACTGCTATTGCTATTGCTAAAAGAAAAAAAGATTGATGGGAAAACCCAGTCGGTGGGGCCAATACAAGTGAAATACTTTGGCCTCTCGTGAATGAGAAAATGATTATTGGATGATTGGGTGAAGGAACCATTCTATCGCTGAGCTGAAGAAGCTCCTTGTAAGAGAAGCAAAACATCTTCAAAGAAAAGCCAAAAATTCCAGTTGCCTCTTGAAAAAAAGCCCCTTTGGGACAACCATGGCTTGGAGGACTAAGAATCTCCATGGACATTCCTTTGAAAATGTTTTGCGTCTCATCCAAGTAGCCTCTTCAAAGGAGGAGGAGGAGAAGAAGAAGAAGAAGGAGAAGAAGGAGGAGGAGGAGGAGGAGGAGAAGAAGAAGAAGAAGAAGAAGAAGAAGAAGAAGAAGAAGAAGAAGAAGAAGAAGAAGAAGAAGAAGAAGACTGTCAAGCAGAGCTGAAGAAGCTTCTTGGATGAGAAGTGAAACATCTTCAAGGAAAACCAAGAAAGTCCAGTTGCCTCTTGAAAAAAGCACCTTTGGGACAACCATTACTAAGGATCTCCGTAGACTTTCTATTGTTGGTTATGGTGACACGTTAACCTATAATTATACATGATAAGAGAGTTGACGTTTACCAGATGGGATCAACTGAAGGTTGAGGAGTCCATTCTGATCAGAATAAATAACAGAAGAACCAAAGAGTCAGAAGGGACCTGGGAGGTCTTCTAGTCCCACCCCCTGTTCAAGCAGGAGACCCACTACCACTCCAGACAAATGGATGTCCAGTCTCTTCTTGAAAGCCTCCAAGGATGGAGGCGCCCACAACCTCTAGAGCCAAGCCGTTCCGCTGGTTGATTGTCCTCACCGCCAGCAAATTTCTCCTTAGTTCTAGGTTGCTTCGCTCCTAAGATTAGTTTCCATCCATTGATCAGGAAATAGTGGTTTCCAACCCAATGGATATTCCCTTGAAAGAGATTGAATGGAAGTTCTCAGGTGTACGTATGGACTATGACGTACCTGTATCAAACCTCATGACATGGAGGATAGATGTCTCGTTCCCTGGGCTGGGAAAGGTCCTTCCTGTATCTGGTAGCTTAACTGGATTATTATTATTATTATTATTTTAGAACTCGGATAAAAGAGTTGATGGAAACTCTGATTCGATTTCATTCTGGCCTTGACAATGTTGTGTGTTGTTGGCTGAACAGCCTCTTTGTGTTGTGTCCTTCTTAACCTAGAGAGACCTTTGTGCTTTGGAAGTTGCTATCATCCCCAATATCTCTTCGCATCAGCCTCTCTCTCTCTCCCCGCTCCCTTTCTCCCTTACTAAGTGCTCCAGCTTTGATGTTTCATAAATCTTCTTTTTCTCTTGGTTGTGACACAAATAGTATCGGGCAGCTCTTTTCTATCAGTCCATCAGCTGAATTATTTCCTTCTGCTGTTAGGCGTGTTTCTATGCCATTAAGAAGCTTTCTGGGTAACACCAAGCCGTCCTTTCCCCACAGTATTTCTCCTCCTTCTCCTTCTCCTTGTTCCTCTCCTTCTCCTTCTCTTTCTTCCTCTTCCTCCTCCTCCTCTTTCTCCTCCTCCTCATCTTCCCCTTCCTCCTCCTTCTCCTGCTTCTTCTCCCTCTCCTTGTTCCTCTCCTTCTCTTTCTCTTTCTTCCTCTTCCTTCTCCTCTTCCTCCTCCTCCTCCTCTTCCCCTTCCTCCTCCTTCTCCTGCTTCTTCTCCCTCTCCTTGTTCCTCTCCTTCTCCTTCTTCCTCTTCCTCCTCCTCTTCCCCTTCCTCCTAC